GAACTTTTGCTTTCTCAAGCAAAGAGCAACATACAGGATGATAATGAACAACCTATACAGACGGTAAGAATTCAAAAAGATTCAGTTCTCTGAGTATAAACATATGATGTGAAAATCTATTTTCCAAATACAGTTTTGTACATCAGAGCTAAACATTGGTGAACTCAGCAAAACTTAGAGTTATTACACACTATATCTACATCTACGCAGGTACACATACTGATGAGAAAGACTCGCCTACACACACACATATTGATGATGAAAGACTCGCCTACACACACACATATTGATGATGAAAGACTCGCCTACACACACACATACTGATGAAGACAGACTCGCCTATTACACACTATATCTAGATCTAAGCAGGTACACATACTGATGAAGACAGACTCGCCTATTACACACACACACACACATACTGATGAAGACAGACTGGCCTACACGCACCACCTTAGCAGTAATGAATTGTTCAGAAGCTACACACCAGTATATCCACGTCCAACAGTACATTCGTGTCACGACACGATGGAATCAGCCGCTCGGCAATTTTGGAGCATAATATGGAGTTATTGGTGTCACCTTAAAGCCTGTCCATTTGTCTTGGTTTTTAATGAAAAAAATATCCATTTATATTGAATACAGGTCAAGATATTGGCGATTGACGGAGGTAGGGGTCGCCCGGTTTCAGAGGTAAAATTAGCAAGAAAATGGCCACTAAAGTGTTGTTTTTTTTTAGCCGGAGAGTTCGTAGAAACTGAAAACTTGCATCTTTTACACCTTCAATCAACGTTTTTCAGTAAAACTCCACACAGAAATGTGTTCTTTAATGGACATGAAAGGTGTTGAGCCAAGCAACAAAAATTCGATAAAAATTCCCAAACCTGCGAAAAAAAGCCAGGTACTCGACTTTCGTTATTTTGGCGAGCGTCTGATTGCACCACGCCGCCTCACGATTTCTTTGTGCTCCAATATCATTGAAAAAAGAAAAAAAGTAAAACGTTCACAATACAGTAAAGGTATATCATTATGAACAAATAATGTGATCCACTTTTCGCCACCGGTCAGACCCAAGAATGATTTCTAACAGAATGGCCCACAGAGCACACGACAAACAAAAAAGTATATCAAACAACTATCCCATTAGGATTAAAAGCTGTAAAGAAAACAATATATTATGTGAACGCTGCACTTCTAAAAAAAATGCATACCTATTCGTCTTTCTGTGTAAAGACGTAGTATATTTCTATCAAAATCTATGAACAAAGACATTGGTGAACTTAATAATTGAGCTGAGTAGCAGCCCTCTATCTCTATCTCTCTTCCAGTCACAGACTCACTTCACAAGGCATACTTATCAGACCTAGTAATGCCAGAGCTATCAAACATCACAGATTATTCACAACAAAAAGAACAGACCTGGCATCCACACATACAATAGAAAAAGAAATGAATTCTTTGTTTGTTTCTATTTTTTTGTTGTTGTTTAAATAAGGTTTACGGCGCTCACAACTGCATAATGTCAGATGAGTGCCGAGGGGTGGACGTCAACAGAGAAGTCCAAACGGGGAATCAGGCTTACTCTGCTCACCTCTCTAGCCACAGTACATCAGAAAAGTTGTAGCACGTCTGTGGTCTTTTATCGAGCACCAGCTTGACCTTCCAAGCAACAGATAAATAAAATGTAGTCTTCATGATAATATCATGCCCATCACCCTCTGCAAATATCACTAGGACCTCACAGCATTCGCTATACAGAAAGGCTTTCAGGAGAAATCACAAAACTCATAAACTACAAAAGAGTAAGAGTAGTTTTAGTACGGTACAAATTTTACGGCACTTGCAACACAAATAAATGTCAAAGCATTTGCCATACAGAGAGGATTTCAGGAGATATTTTTTAAAAAACTCAAATTACTGAAGAGTGGGATAGTTTAGCAAAAGTTTTACGGCACTTTCAACACAGATAGATAGTATATAAGTGCCAAAGATTAAAGGTGTTACCAGAGAGTAACCCACAAAAAAAAGGAGGAGGAGGAGGGATAAGGACGACAGATGTTGAACTACAAAGACAGACAACAAGATAACGTATTGACATTCCAGGATAGTATATCATTACATCAACAGAAAAGTATACGTACAATATAATATATGGGTCGAAGTATACATTCTTATATATATATGACAAATGTCATACCACCTTGGGAAAGAGTTTTATATTATACGGTGTGGACTGATTGGTTGAAACGCCTCATATCTCTATGTAATCACTATTTTGCATAATTTAAAAGAAATATATATATATATATATAGGTATCTGAACCTCTCTATGAGAAAGAGGACTGGACAGTTCAGTTAGCATGTGTATTCACACATACAAAAGACATAAACAAACACATACACGTATCCATACACATGGCCAAAGATAAACAAACAGAGGACCATACGTATCGTACGTACACACAGACACACACACCCGACAGATTAAAAAAAAATCCCCAAAAACATAAACTAAGGCGAAGAAGACATGAGCAGCGTGAGGATTATCAAGACACTCGTCCAAGGACACGAATCATGACACGATAATTTTTCAGATCTTGGCCAATTTAGCAAGAGGGTTCCAACAATAAACAAAATTCTATATCCTGACCAAAAAAAAAAAAAAAACTTGATGCATGCCATTTTGGGAACAAATATATCATCAGTAACACTGTGTCTTTCAGCCTTGGAACTCAAAGAAAACAACAGATATTTCTTTTTTAAAAGTTACAAATACAAAAGTACCCTTGAAATAATGTCCCCCCCCCCCTTTTAAAAAAGAAAAGTTACAAATACAAAAGTACCCTTGAAATAATGTCCATCCATCACCCCCCCCCCCCCCCCGGGAATGAGCTTTACATTGTATACTATTTATTTTATGGCTGAATGACAAACCAGCCGATCCAACGCATAAATCAGCCAGTCTTACAGCGCTATCTACACAATTTGGTCATATGTAAGCGCCACCAAACACAAAATTGAGCCGAGCGTTACAAAAATGTCAAAAGCCCTGACGAAATCCATTAGCTGTTGCTCTAGTTCACACAGGACAGTCATGTCATGCGACATAACAAGGTTCACACAGGACAGTCATGTCATGCGACATAACAAGGTTCACACATGTCATGCGACATAACAAGGTTCACACATGTCATGCGACATAACAAGGTTCACACATGTCATGCGACATAACAAGGTTCACACACACACACGCAGAGAATCCCCAGAGATGAAATTGTCAAGTACAGGAAATAAAAGTGACCAGTTTTGGGTAGAATAAGAACATGTGACTGTATGTATTCAACACTTCAGTTTTAGTTTTAGTTAAGAGTTTTACAGCACTTACAACACAATAAGGTCGTATGAGTGCCGAAGATTAGAGGTGTTACAAGAGAGTAACAAGCACAAAAAAGGAGGGGAGATAAAGACGATAGATGTTTTGTAGGAAAAAAGAAGCAAACCACACTAGTACACCCGCCAACTACCCACATTATTCAACACCGTTTGCTTTCTGTAGCACAGACAAAACAACAGAGACATTAGAGGTATATTATAACAGACAAACAAATGCACCTTACGTACACAGACCCATTTATAAACCCAAGAAATGGAACAAAATTGGCCGCACAAGGTTTTAAGCACAAAGGGGCTATCCCGAGAAATGCTGTTTTGAGAAAATCGAAGGTAAAGTTTTTGGACCCCTGTTCAGTTTCTTAAGACAAGGAGAGTTTTCTCTATAACCAAACAAATATACACATCAATGAAACCAAACTTCTCCTATAAGTAGGGCAAGGCCCACTTTTGGTGTAGGTCAAGATTTTTGGAAACCCCGAAAACTGAGTCAGCCCGCTTGTCCTTAAAAGCGACCAATTGTGGTACACATAATATGCAATCCTCTCTGCTTCTCACTTCTAACAGTTGAACATTCTGAGTGGCAAAAGAGCAGTGGCCGAGTGGCCAAATCCTACAGAAAAATGAGAGGTAAACTGGAGAAAGGATACACCTTCAAAATGTTGCACTGCGGCGTTAAACATGGTGTAGTTCATTTCTAAAACGAACGGAATACATCTCTTAGATTTAGCGCAAAGATAGCATAAATAAATAATGGAAGTGCACGAGCCTAGGTCAACATCGGGGATATGCTCTCAACAAAATCAGGAAAATAAATAAATTACTATCTACAAAGAAGGGAAAAGACAGAAAAGTTTTTCAAAGAAAGAAAAATGTGTCACGATGCGGTAGAATCAGGCGCTCGTCAATTTTGGGGCATGCTGATTTATTTGTATCATCTGAAAGCTGATTTATTTACCTTGCTCACAATAAAATATACACATCCATTTATCTTGAATAGAACTCAAGATATCTGAATTTGAAGGAAGTGAGTTAACCTTGTTTCAGTGGTGAAATTAGTGAGAAAACGGCCGCCAAAGTTTGGTAACTCCAATAGCTAAAGAGTTTTCAAAAACTGAAAAATGACATATTTTGTGTCTTTAATCAATGATTAAATTTTCAGAAAAATTTTCATGGAAATATGTTTTTATATGGACATAAAAGAGGTCAAGCCCAAAAAAAAAAAAATTCGATAAAGATTTCCAAACAAGCGGAAAATGCCAGTTTCTCGGATTTCGTTATCTCAAACGAGCGCCCGATTTTACCGCGCTGCCTCACAAAAGTCTTCTGTTTCTCCAGCCGGCATATTATGTCATGAACGGTGAGGGAACAGAGATGGGGGTCGCCCGCCACAAGAGGTCATCATCAGACACACCCTAGAAGTGACCAGGCACAGAACAGCTGCCTCAAGCTCTCCGGACCAAGAACAAGGCCATTGGCATGTTACATAGTACAGTTAGACGCACACACAACCACAAACAAAAACTACTCATTAACATAATGAAATATAAATCACAGTAAATAAAAAGTCTCTTCCATACACTTAAAAAAACAAAAAGTACAGCTGGGGTGGGGGGGGGGGGGGGGGGAAGAGGCGAAACCTGCAGTCCTTATCCACTCATGACGTAAAGTACCTCCTAGGAAATGGGGACAGCGTCCTATGGACCAATCAATCACCTCCATGTATCCCGTGGGCCAATCAAACCCGTCCATATATCCCGAGGGCCAATCAAACCCTTCCATATTTCCTGTGGAGAATCAAACCCTTCCATATATTCCATGGACCAATCAAACCCCTCCATATATCCTGTGGGCCAATCAAACCCCTCCATATATCCTGTGGGCCAATCAAACACCTTCATGCATCCCGCGGGCCAATCATATATCCTGTGGGCCAATCAAACACCTCCATATATCCTGTGGGCCAATCAAACGCCTCCGTGCATCCCGTGGGCCAATTAAACGCCTCCGCCGCTTCTTTCCACAGAGATCTTCTTGTTGGCCGGTTCTCCATTGCCCTCCGCAGCTTTGGCAAAGCGGGAGTTGACCACCATCCCGTGCTCAATGGCGCTCATTAGCTGTGGGGCACAAAGAAATGGGTGTGGGGGGGAAAAAGATAAATTAGACTGACGGGTAAGGTTGTTACATACAAAAAAAAAGTAAATAAAAAAATAAAGTTACAATTTGAACACTGATTGAAAACCATGAAAACACTCCCCCCCCCCAAAAAAAAAGAAAAAAAAAGAAAAAAATCAATGAGTTGAAATCTCAAAGACCAGAATTACTCACATGGCAATGTTATATCAAATTACACGCGCTCCCCAGATATAACTACAGTAGCTGAAGGCGACACAAGGCGTTAAAGTGTATTGTATGAACAAAAAGCACTTTCATTCGAAGGCAACAACTTTCTTCGCATTCTCAAACTTTCTCTTCAAGATAAGTATCTGTTGAAATTCCATGAAAATGGATCAAGCTTTTCCGTAAGGATAAATTCCATGTAAAGCTAATACAAATTAGAGGAAAGAACCTGAACTTCGCTTAAATGATGAATGGACAGGTAAAATGATATTGAAATCTTTAATAATAGTACATTCATTCCCCCCCCCCCCTCACCCCCTAAAATAACAAAAACAAGACAAAGCAAAAACAAAATACTTTAAAAATAGCTGTAAGTTTTAGGTGAAACAAATATCTGAGATCACTTCAGTGTAAAAAACACAACCAGACTTCATAACCAAATACAAGCAAATTGTTACGGCACAAAAAGTTTGAAAGTTTTCAATGTCTAATCTAATTTTACAGGGGCAAGTAAGTACGCTAGGAGCTAATAATACTGTTTTCTTTTTCTTTCTAAATAAATGACAAAAAGCATCTGATATCACACATTATGGTTAGTTGTTACCATATCCAGACCATTTATCTCCATTTGAATATTTTATATAGACCACATAATTACGGAGATCTCTCTCTCTCTCTCTCTCTATTATGGAGATAGGTGGTCTGGATCTGACAGCAACAATATAAATACAAATAATAATCACGATAACATGAGATTAGTTCAAGGATGAAGCAGCACGTGTATCATCAATGCAGTCATACAGAAGGATGCAACCAAAAAAAAGAAAAGACCAAGCTGAAGACAATACGAGTCAAACCTCTATAGCATTCGAAACATAGACATGTGCTCCCCCCCCCCCCCCCCTCTTTCCCTCCCCAGCTTTGTTGTTTTCGTAAGAGTTTAACGGCGCTCGCAAATGCATAAGTCCCCATCCTCTTCACAAATATATATATATGAAGAGCACAGGGGAAAAACAACGGTGGTCACAAACTGGAAATTGTGAGGGTGTCAATTTTAAAATCTTGTGGACTCGTAACTTCATATTTGTTTGACTGGCGGCTTATTGTTGAGGGTTATTGAATGGGAAATCTAACAACAATATATAATCAACCAACAGTTGAACAGAAATATAGGTTATGAGTCAGCAAGCCTTCAAAATTGGTACCCTCACGATTTTCAATTAATGACTACCTTCGTTTTTCCCCTGTCGTCTTTATAATATATAAAGCAACGAAAAGATCTCAACATTATAGCACAAAAAGTGGAAAGGGACAAAAAACCCCAACAAAACGTTAACGTTCATCCTGCCGTTATCCAGAGTTTTAAAATCTTTGGCCATGGTTTGAAACTGGAAGCCAGTACAAATGTCATAACAGTGACTGGGAGAAGGGAGAGTGGGAAGGCTGCCTTGACATGCAAGGTGCAAAACTCTCCTAGTGTGAATGGGGGCCGAAATTACAAAGTAGAAAAATACAACTAACATAAACACCGCATGGAGAATGTCCTCAAAACAACTGTGACACGGCAGGGTTGTTGTTTTTTCGAATTCCTTTTGTTCCAAACTAATTCTCTGCCATATCGACAGGCCGAAGGGCTAGAAGAACTCAAATGGCGGCTGAATCGGAAAAGTAAAAGTAAAGTAAGTTTGGCTCCAAATGATGAAACTCTATCTTGGTCACAATGAAATCAAAACCAAACAACCCAAAAACCCAGCCAAACCCAGCAACAAAACCCAATACAAAGCAACGAGGTGTGGCGTACATTGGAGGCCAGTGAAGACACACAACATCTAAGCTGGAAGGGTATCGTTTGTTGGTTTGTTTGTTTGAGTAAAGAGAAGCACATCGACATAGTGATGGTCACAGCTGGAAGGGTTATGTTTGTTTGTTTGTTTGTTTGTTTGTTTGTTTGAGTAAAGAGAAGCACATCGACATAGTGATGGTCACAGCTGGAAGGGTTATGTTTGTTTGTTTGTTTGTTTGTTTGTTTGTTTGTTTGTTTGTTTGTTTGTTTGTTTGAGTAAAGAGAAGCACATCGACATAGTGATGGTCACAGCTGGAAGGGTTATGTTTGTTTGTTTGTTTGTTTGTTTGAGTAAAGAGAAGCACATCGACATAGTGATGGTCACAGCTGGAAGGGTTATGTTTGTTTGTTTGTTTGTTTGTTTGAGTAAAGAGAAGCACATCGACACACAATGATGGAGAGAGCTGGAAAGAGCACAGACGTGTGTCTACAATGTGGACAACACAGAACACCGTATACATACATACATACTGGTTGGAAAAATTGTTAAAAAGCAAGGGATATTACAACAATAAATTTGACAGATTCAAATAAAAATACATGTTCCCAAAAGGTGAGTCAGCGCCAAAGAAACTTATAGAGTAACAAAAGACGATCGGCGAAGTCGTTACCTCAGTGCTTTCTTGTCTTATCTCCATTTTTTTTTTAAACATTGAAAATGTGACATGTTTGTTAAGCTCACTCTTTGTTATGAACTGTTTTCACTGTTTTCACTGTTTTAAAAAAAAAAAAAAAAAAAAAAGTGGAGATACAACAAGAAAGCACCGAGGTCTCAAAGAGCTGCCAATTTAGTATAAGCGTGAAGAAAAGGGCGAGAGAATAGAAACAGATAGACATATCCCATGACATCGTTCACATATTATGTAACTTAATAAACGAGGCAAAGCATTGATCATTGTGATTATTGTCGAAAATAAACCGGAAAGAAAGGACAATAAGACATGGTGGCAGTCGAATCCATCCCTCGGGTCTGTAAGTTAGATAAGTCGAAGTCCTCGATGGAGATTACTAACATAACGAAAGGAAATAGAATATTACGAAAGACGAAGAGTAACAGCTTTAATAATGGAGACAAAAATGCAAACATTACTAAAATGGACAAGATAATGGTTATTTATATGATGACAAAAAGAAACAAGACAGACAGATGGATAAAAGGAAATTTCAGAACTGTTCCAAAAAATTCACGAGGGTCAAAGTTCGGTCAGTACAGAAGGAAAAAAAAATGCAACTGTGGATATTTTAAGCTTCAATCAATACAATTTGTATCATTTATGAAGTGACCTGCTTCGAACCTACTGGGCTGAAAGGGACCCAATATCCCAGTAGACAGATTTTAGATACTCTATAAATATAAACAGGACACATGGGGTCAAAGTTCAGTCCATACAGAGTAACACTCGTGGGTTTAAATTTTTTTTTTTTCGTGGTAAGTGTTTTACTGCGCTTGCAACTGCATAAGGACATATGAGCACGCGGGACACATTAAACATTTTTCAGTTGGTAGCAAATTTTGAATTTAGCCCGGGTGGCCACTGAAGCCTACTCTTATCGATTTTAGACCACCATGGAATCTTAAATGTGTGAAACTTGGACACGGGACCTCTGAGATTTTTCGCCCTTGTCCGAGAAGGTTAGGTGTAGATCTTTCCTACCAGAAGATCAGGGGTGTGGCTGAAAGACTGCAGTAAGAAGGAGCCAAGGGGTAGAAGTAGAAAGGCTGCAAAAAGAGTCAGGAGCCCAGAGGAGGGGGCAAAGGAGGTGAGGAGGTGGGGTAGACAGTGGGAAAAAAAAGCAGACAACAGAACATTGCTAGATATCAGGAAAGGAGGTGAAAGGAGACCATTTAAGAGAAGAAAATGTTTCCATGTCTACACGGATTCTAACCTGGGCAATTTGAATGAGAGGCGAACACCTTAACCTCTAGGCCACGAGAGCCCGCTCTACTGTTCTTTACGGCACTTGCGATGCAAATCAGTCATATAAGTGCCGAATATCAGAGGTGTAACAAGAGAGTAACATACACAAATAGAAGGAGGGGAGATAATGTTTAGTAAGAGTTTTACGGCACTTGCAACACAATAAGGTCATATAAGTGGCCAAGATTAGAGGTGTTACAAGAGAGTAACAAACATAAAATAGAAGGAGGGGGGATAAAGACAATAGATGTTTGATAGGAAAGAAGAAGCACACCAAACCAGAGCAGCACCCGCCAACCACCCACTGGAGGGGAGATAAGGATCATACATGTTTGATAGGAAAGAAGGAGCAGACCACACCAGAGCACCCGCCAGCCACCCACTTATTCAGAGAAGATTTAGAGATTTTAGTAGAGAGTAGCAAACAAAGAAAAAAAGAAAAGGAGGAGAGAGAGATAGGGACGGCACATTCTTGGTAGGAGAGAAGGAGCACACAACGCCACAGTACCCACAAACATAAGAAATATGAATGTCTCCATACAAATTTACTTCAATTACAAGTGTACATGTCCAGCTGCAGGTCAAAATGATCGCTTCTAAGGACAAGCGGGCTAACCCAGATTTCAGGGGTTTCCAGAAATCTTGACCTACACCAAAAGTGGGCATTGCCCTACTTTTAGGAGAAGTTTGGTTTCATTGGTGTGTATATTTGTTTGGTTATAGAGAAAACTCTCCTTGTCTTTTAAAGAAACTGAACAAGGGTACAAAAACATGACAGAAACACAAACAACAGAGAGAAAGACAAAAAGTGGAACCTGCCAGCGGCACCCTTCACCCACCCACACACATGTTATATTTACAATATGAGTGTATCAAAAAGCTACAACAAAAACAAGCCACCGTTTACTAAACAGATACTAGTATCATTGGAATAGAATTGGGTACACACAAAAAGATACCAAAAAAAATAAATAATAAAAATGCGAAAAAAACTCCATCACAGTGCCGAAAGTGG